GGCGAGCCGGGCCGGCGCTCCCGGGGCGCACCCACGGCCGGCACCCCTCCCGCCGCCAGCCTCGCCTCGCCTGCTTTTCCAGACACGAGCAGCTGCCACATGCGGGGGTCGCTAGGTTTAGGTCGAGCATTAGGAATAAGTCCTTCCCCGGAACAATTCTTGCCCCGCCACAGGCAGCGGTGAAGTCACCGACTGGGGAGGATTTAATGGACGCGTGGATGTGGCGCTTGGGGACGTGGGTTAGTGGTGGCCTTAGTGCTGGGGGAGCAGTTGGACTCCATGGTCTCAGAGAGCTTTCACGGCTTCGGCGGTTCTCTGATTATTGCAGGAAGATGGTGAAAGTTACTGAGAATTACATGCGGGGCAAAAAACCAGAAGGAAATCCAGAGTTTTATGCAAATTGATAGGAGCTTTAGGGGTGTTACTTGAGATACCTGTTAAGGCATAGTGTGGGTTTCCAAAGTGGGCAGCCCTGACTTGGCAAAAATCCCTGGAAAGTGGGTATTTTGCCCTGGGGACTGGTGCTGTGCAGGACTGAGAGTGTGAGAGCAGCTCGGAGCACTTCGGTGCTTTCACTTCCAGCAAACACAAGCCCCCAGCCACTCCAGATAAAACAATTAGTGGGCAATTCTGTGCGCAGCATCTCCAGTTGGGAAACCTGCTGATTTTTGAGCCAGGTGGAAAGGCTCAGATTCCACCCTTTTTCCTCTTTTTCTGCTTGTGTGAAAAGCCCTTTGCCCAGAGGAGTCCCAGTGCTGCCGAGGTTCTCCCAGCACGGTTTGTAGCGCAAGGAGATGAGGAGACTCTGCCTGGACCAGAGTGAGGGAATGGCTGAGCAGGAGACTGGAACTGACTGTGGCCAACCATGAAGCATGCACTCATATTTTCCAGATAGCATTTTTTTCCCCCTGCCTTTCACTTGCAGTTCTTATTTAGGATTTCAGCTCTCTGTTCTTAGGTTCCAATGTATACAAGTGTCTCATCTTGAGGCACAGTGCTGCCTGGCTGTGCCAGTCAGTCCTGCAGCGGAGTAGAAATCTGTAATGTGTGTGCTGGCTCACGTGGTGACAGGGAAGAGCCACTGCTGGGGTGGTGGATGGGTGTCTGAGCCCCTGAGGGTGGCTCTGGGCACCTCCTGTCCCAGGCAAGCAGAGACCCATGGCTGGAGGGGACAGGGTTTGTGGCTGGGATGGGAAGCAGCCCACCCTATCTCCTCTTGTCCTGCCTGCATCCCTGCCAGCCCCCCCTGCCCCAGTACCTGCTGGGCAGATGGGGAGAATCAGCAGCCCTGAAGGTTTCACTGACTACTTTCATTTTCTACCTTTTCACTTACTATTTTCCTCACTCTTGTTTTTCTCCCAGAATCCTTTAGCTGCACACAAAAGAAATAGATTGGACTCCAATACTAATTTTTTGGAAGTCTAAATTTGTTTTGAAAATTACATTTTCATAGAGAAAAGACAGTGGCTGAGCTGTAGTGTTGTCACAGGGTGGATAAGATTCAGCTCACACTGTGGCACTGCTGGAACCATTTCATCTCATGCAGTGAAACTCATTCAGGAGCTCGTGGTTTTGGTATCTTAAGGGCTGATACAGTGGGGAACCTATTCTGCTTTCCTGCTCAAGCAGGATGTCTCTTTAAGACAATAAAAGAGTTCTTTAACAAATTAATTATGTTTTTAAGTTAGATATCATGTTTCTGGGACTGATGGCAGGGAGGTTCCTCTTTCCCTCAGCCTATAAGTACATTGCTACTGTGTCCCATGTATACTCGTTATGTTACTGTGTCACCTTTATATTCCCCAGACAAAATGTGTGGCTCTGGCAGTCTCAGGGAGACTCCATGTAGGTCCCAAAGAAGTGGGAGTTGTTGGTTTTGGCTTTTCCTTTAGCCTCAGTAAGACCAGTTGGTGATCCAAGGTTGCTGCCATGCCAGGGCAGCATCAGGTGGTTTAGCTGTGTCCTCCATGTACAAATCAAATGTCTTGGATCTGCTGGTGTTCAAATAAGAAGCACAAAGATCTCCCAACTCTGAATTTCATGCCAGATATTCAACAAAATGTTGAGCAGCAGCAGACCTGCCTGGCACATGGGGTATGGCTGCCTCCTCCATCCTGAGTGATTCCATCATCCTGGCAGACGTCCTTGTGCTTGGAGCAGCTCTGACACAGGATTCCTTTGGCCTGTGTAACTTTCTGTATTTGGCAAACTGCTTTAAACCGGGTTCTTGAAGGGAGGGGGCTTTGAGGGCATTGTCTCAGCTTCAGGCCCTTTGAAAGGCTGGGAAATCCTGTAAATAGATGAGGAAAAGTGGAAAAGTTGTGTTCAGAGGAGAGTTTCACCAAAAACCCTGCTGGTTTGGGTTTTTTTTTGTTTTGTTGAGGTTTTTTTCACCAGTGCCTTTTTCTTTGTATTACAGCACTTTAGAGATCAAGTAAAAATCAGTCCCTTGCTTTCCATATTCTCCATATTCTGGTATCTGGGCTCCTTTCCTGTTGCCTGCAATTCTGTTTCTTTCATCTTGTGCTGTTATTTAGGGGCAAAAGCCTGAAGCAAACTCCAGACCAGAGCATCAGCAGTGCAGAGGCACCTGCTGCCAGGGGTGAGCAGGGCTGTGGGCCCTGAACTCACCCAGAGGCTGGGCTCAGACCCCTGGAACCTCCCAGAGCAGCTGGGGGACTCCTGCCCTGTGTGCCAGCCCTCCAAAGGACATCTGTGTCACTCATCTGGGACCTGGCTTTCCTCTTTTTATTCTTCCTCCTGCATTCAACCTGTAGCTGAACCCTGACACCAAACCCTGTGCATCTCCTGGGGCGGTGACACTGGGCTCCCTTTTCACCACCTTCTGAGATGGTGACAAATCTTCTATTTAATGGTGTCAGGAACATTTATGCTAGCTACAAGCTGAGCCCACGCCCCTCCCGAGGTGCTTGCAGGACAGATTTAGTCCCTTCAGCTCCTCCTGTCCCCGTGGATCTGGCTGCTGATCCTTGTATCAGCCCATGTGCTGCGAGCAGGAGCTACGTGAGGGTGACTCATGCGCTGTGCTGGTCTGGGCAGACCTCATCTCCCATGAATCCTGGCCCTCCAGAGCCGGGGGAGCCCAGCCAAGTGTCTGCTTCCAAAAGGCAGCGGCAAGGGAGTGGTGGGATTAGGCAGAGGAGGCAGAAAAAGCCTGCAGAGGAATGCTGCTGTGGGAGGGGAAGGAGCTGTGGCAGGAGGTGCTGGGGGTCCTGTAGATGATCCCCTCTGCTGCAAGAGCCTTGCAGGGGCCAGACATCTGGCCAAGCTTCCCTCCTAGAGAGCAGCTCTGGTTGAGGTGCCAGGTTCTTCTGGGCAGTTCAGGGTGGTGCCTTCCAAAAGCTGTTCGCTATTCCTGATGGGTGTTGAGAACTTGCTCCCAAGGCAGCTTGAACAGTTTTTCTCCTGATTTTCTGCACACGGTATTAGGAAAAGCAAAGTGGAGATTGGTCTAGTGAAAGTGGATTTTATTCCCTGTTGACATGGGAAGAACCCATCTAGAACCTGCAGAAATAATCAGGCAGTTCCAAAACTCCAAATAAATTGCTCAGTTTTGCAACTTCAGTCTGAACTGCTTGCCCTGATCAAGATGCTGGTCCTGTGCTGCCCTTTGAGCCATCCTTTCTGACAGTATAGCCCTGTGGCTCCTGGGCTGGTTCTGTTGTTCTGCTGAGCCATTAATGCACCTCAGGAAGGCTCTGGAGGGTGTTTCAGAGGGAGGTGAGAGCTTGTTCTGCTGGTCCTCCGAGTTAGCTGTGAGCGATGCCATGCAGAGCTGAAACGTGCATGGAGCAAGAGCCTGAGCGACTGCACAGCTCCAGGGTGGAGCAGCAGGGCCACAGGGGTGTGTGTGTGTCCCTTTCTGCTGGGGACACAGCAGGGCCACAGGGGTGTGTGTGTGTCCCTTTCTGCTGGGGGTGCAGGGTGTGTGTGGGACAGTGTGTCCTGCTCTGCCAGGGACACATCAGCCACCAGAATTTGGCGCTGTCACACCAGTGCTGGATCCTGAAGGCTTTGCTGAGCCTTTGCTGGGGCCAAGCTCTCTACTGATTGTCTCTGGTACCCAGAGCTACGGCTGGGGCTGGCAGAATCCACTGGTGACATGAGCAGTTAGTGGGTCAGTACTTCAATATTGGGACTAAAATTTCATTTGCTGCATTGTGAAGCTGCAAGATGGCAACAGAATGGGGAAGCTCATCACGAGCCTTGCTGGGAAGCCTGGAATGGATGGAGCCATGTGGAAGGAGCCAGGAATTACCTCCTGCCCGAGTCCCACCCACGGCGCTCAGCAGTGTTGGCTGCTGTCCTGGCCAGGTGGAGATGTCCACCCAGAGATGGGCACACTGATCATCCCAAATGTGTTAGGGCTGGCTTTGATCTCTCTGCCTTCTCTTCCTCTCGTTCCCAAGCTCCCCTCTCCTCTTCAGCACAATGGCCTGCCAAGAGAGCGAGTACCTGGATGACCAGAAGAAATGTGTCCCCTGCAGAAAGTGCATGCCTGGGCAGGAGCTTTCCAAGGTAAATTGACTTCTCTGTAAGGAGCAGAAATCATCATGGGTGGCACAGCTGGGTTAATCCTCTGCCAGCCTCCCTTCAGAAAGATGATCTTAGGTCCCAGCATGTTGGGAACAGCAGAAACTTGGTAGGATGGGATGGTGGATTGTTTCACTTACCCTGGTAGAAGGGTGAGACAATGAAAGCAGGAGGTGGTGGGGGATTTAAGACAGCACAAGAAGCAACTTGATTTCCTTTTTTTTACTGGTAGAAGTCAAAATTTCCCCTGGTCTGTAGCCCTGAGCAAGGTCACACTGCCTGGCTGGGCTGCGCATGGGTGGGTGCCAGCAGGACACTGCTGCAGGGAGTCCCAGCCTGGCCTCAGGGGTGAGAGGTTTGGAATGGTGGGAGGCAGCAGGGTTCCCCTGGTGGTGCCTCCTGGGGCATGGTGCTGCTGGAGCTTTCCAAAACCCAAAGCACACCAGTGAGCCCCAGCTGGGCAGCAGACAGGGTCCCCCAGTGTCTCCTGGGGACTGCACTGGTGGCAGCTGCTCTCAGCTGGGTTCTGAAGAACATGAGCTGTGGCCCTGCCACCCTTTGCCCCCAAAGAGGGGACACGGTTTCCCTCAGTTCCTTTTGGAACCCACGGTGACCCCTCAGCACAGCCATGCCCCCAACCTCGTGCCTTGCAGGACTGCGGCGATGGCAGCGGCGGGGACGCGCAGTGCGTGGCCTGCCCGCCCAGGAAGTTCAAGGACCGCTGGGGACATCACGGCTGCAAGCCCTGCCTGTCCTGTGCCCTCATCAACCGCCTCCAGAAGTCCAACTGCACAGCCACGGCCGACGCCGTCTGCGGGGAGTGCCTGCCGGGGTGAGCGGGGCACAGCCACCACAGCCACACCTGGGGACAGGCAGCGAGGGGCTGGGCAGAGGGGCTTCACCTGAGCCCCCATGGTCCCACATGGGACCTGAGAGGAGCCTGGGGACCCAGTGATGCCTCTGTGAGGACACTGCTAATGACATGGAAGTCAGACCCATCTGGTGGGTCCCATTGTAGCTCCAGAGAAGGGAACCTGAAGGTTCCTGTAAAAGAGCTGTCAAGGAGAACTTCCAGACTCTAGGTGTTCTGTGGACACCAAGGTGGCTGAGCTGTGGAAGATGGAGGGTTGTAGACCACTATGGTTGGTAGTCCCCAAAGAGGGGGTTTAAGCGGTGACTGAAATGAAGTGTCTGTGTTCAGGCAGCCTGTACCAAACCCAGGTGCTGCAGACACCGCTGGCCAGTGGTGGGCCTGGGACAGGAGTGAGTCAGGGCTCCAGTGTATGCACCTCAGCTGTAGCTGGGGTGTTCCCAGCCCTGTGGGGAGCCATTAATCATTAAAATCCACTTCAGCAGACACAGAGGTGGGAGTGCTGTTAGAAAGATGTTGCTTCTTGACAAATGTCTCAACATGAACAAATAGGTGCAGTGTGGCTCTAGCCAGTGATGAGAGCCCTGCTGCTCCTGTTTCTTGCCAGCCAGGCAGGAGTGCAGGGTCAGCTGTCCCCCTCTGCTGTGGGGTGGGTGGCACAGCTGGCTGCACAGGCAGGGTGGTGGGAGCTCACTGGGGACCAGGCTGAGCCTGTCTGCTCTGTTGGCAGGTTTTACAGGAAGGCACGGATCAGCGGGCAGCTGGAGTGGGAGTGCATTCCCTGCACCAAGCAGACGCCATCCTCCGAGCCGCAGTGTAGGTGCCCCCACGCTGGTGGGCTGGGGGCAGGTGATGTGGGCACGGGGGAGCCTCAGCCCTGCTGGAGGAGGCACAGTCATGGCATGTGACATGGGATGGGCAGGGAAGGGGTGGTCCAAGCCTCGGAGTTTGGCTCCAGCACTTTGTGGATTATGTTTGCAGGCCGGTCCAGAACAAACCTGGTGAAGGTCGCTGTCCCTACTGTACCACCACAGGACACAGCCCTTCTTGCTCTGACCAGCAGTGCCCTGGTCATCATCGTCTTGGTGCTTCTGGCGCTTTCCATCATCTACTGCAAGCGATTCTGGAAAAGCCAGTGCCAGAGAGGTGAGTTGGTGCCTTCCTCCTTGCTGTGCCATTCACCTGTGCCTATGGCCCCTTCCTGCTGGGTAGAGCATTGCAGCTTTCACAGCACAGTGACCCAGCTGTTCCTCAGCCCATACAGAGCAGGCACCTCATCCTGCTTCTCATGCCTGCAGGACCTCTGCTGTGCTTTACCTGCTCAGTGTCACAGAGGAGCCTCCCTCCTTCCTAGGGCCATCAGGTGGAGGAGGCCATTTCACAGTCAGAACTGCCAATCCTCCCTTCTGAGGTGTTTCTGCTTGGGTGCTCTTTGCTGCAGAATGAAGAGGGCTGTAGGTTTGGTGGCCAGGGTTGGGGCAGAATGGCATCCAGCAGCATGCCAGGGAGCTGCTGGGCTTCCAGCTCCTCGCTGGCAGACATACCACAGGGCTGAGGACATGCTAGGGAAGCGAGCCAAACCTCTGCTCAGGCTGTTTCTCCTCTATCCTCCAAGTCTTCCTGAGGACACAGAACTTCTCAGGCCAGCGAGCAACGTTCCCAACTGCAGCCACACCCGGCAGGTTCCTGTGCGAGGAGCAGATGTCTGGACCCTGCTGCCTGGGCGTGAAGAATTTGAGCCCTTGCTACAGGCAGGCAGAAGGTACCAGCTCTTGCTGCCTTCCCTGGGGAGGGGAGGGTGGTGCTGGGCTCCAGCTCACATGGTCCCAGGATGAGATGCCCTTAGGCAGAAGGATGGAGCTGGATGTTGAGCTTCACTGATCCATGCTGGTTTCTGGTTCCAGGCCCTGTGGAAGCGGTGCAGTTCATTTCAGATGGGGAAGCCGTGGGTCTCCAGCTCCCCTCTCTCCAGCCAGAGATGGACTTGCCACCAGCCACTGCAGTCAGCACTGCCTCCAAGGCCCAGCTGGGCAGGAGCCTCCTGGAAAGCCAGCCCCTCATCCGAACCTCGGGCCACGGTGACTGCCTGGACGGGGTCCTGCCGCCCCCCACCCCCAGGCAGGGCCGGCTGGGCACGGTGGAGGCCCTGGCCCCGCTCTCCTCCTGCGCCTCCGAGATGCAGCACAAGTGGCCACATGCACCCGTGGAGTGCACTGAGCTGGACCTCCAGAAGTTCTCCACCCAGGCGGAGTTTGTGGGTGGTGAGCGGCTGGAGGATGCAGCAAGCCGGGCGATGAAGAGGATTCCAGCAGAGAGCGGTGCTGTGGTGCAGGAGGGGGCTCATCACTTGCCCATGGCTGAAATCCCACCTGGGGAGCAGCCGGTGAGTTCCTCCAGCCTCGTCACTCCTCAGAACTGCTGCCAGTTGCCCAAGGCTCAGGCACAGAGGCTGGGCTCAACACAGGGGTAGGAGCATGGACTGAGTTACATTAATGTAGGGTGGTAAGGCTGGAGGGACCATTCCCTGAGCCCCTCTGACAGCCCTGGGAGCAGAGCCAGGCTTTGCTGTTCTCTCTAGGCTGCCACCAACCTTGGGGTCTTTGTCTCGCCAGGTGGATGATGCCCAGAGCCTGGTGACTCAGATCAGCAGCACGGCCAAAGGTAAGGGGCCTTCCAATCTCACCTCTGTACTCCAAGTATGGGCATATCAGAGGCAGGTTCTTGGAAGGGAGCTCCTCCAGAAGCCCACCATGTCCCCACCAGGGACTTACCTGACTTGTGGCCTTTGGTGCTGCTCCACAGGGTATAATTTCTGTGATGCTGCCTGGAGTGGCCTGTGGGCAGGTGGCCTGGCTGGTCACCAGCTTCCCCAGGACTGAGCCAGCTCCATGTTGCTGATCTCTAAAAGTGATGTTGGAGGAAATACCTGCCCTGGCAGGGTGGCCTTTCACCTGCTCATCAGGGGCTGAGGCTGGAGGCTGGCTGTTCTCTTTGCCCTTATTCTGTTTGGGTAGGGTGAGTACTAACCCAGCTTTGCTGTGTTGTTGCCCCCAGGTCTCCCCATAGCAGAGCTGCCCCATTCCTTGGTGCAGTCGCTTGCCTTCTTGTTGGACCCTTCCTTGAACGGTGTGAAGAACTTCAGCCACGTGGCACTGGAGCTGGGGCTCATGCCCCAGTTGCTGGGACGGATTTCGGGGTTCGAGCAGCTGGTCACACACTTCAGCTACGCGGGAGCCGCCGTCACCGTCCCGCTGCTGGCGCAGGCGCTGCAGCGGCTCCAGCGGTTCGACGCCTTGCTCCTGCTCTGCGACCACTTCACACTCAGCCCCACGCCGGACCGCCAGCACTAGAGGACAGGGAGGGACAGAGGAAGCTGCATGCACTCATGTGAGAGAGGATCTGGTGGCCTGCAGTCACATAACCTCCCTGGTGTGCATGGCAGGAGCACACAGAGGTGGTCTTTGCATCATGGAATGGAAGGACACAACAGGGGCATCTCTGCACAGGGGTTCCAGGAAGCACAGCTGTGCCTTTTCCCTGCTCCTGGGGGAGGGCTTACTCAGGCCCCTCCAGAGGCTGTTTTTCTCTGGCTGTGACACCTTTGCCTGTCAGTCATTATGCTGCCTGTGCTGTGGTGCTCTGGCTCTGCAGTGAGCCCTCTCCTGCCCCACTGTTGCCACAGGGCTCCCTCAGCCATGGGGCTCTGTCTTTGTGGGCAGTGTCCTCCTATGGACCCAGCCATCTTCTCCCTTCCATTCCAGCTTTCCCATCCTTCCTCTGGCCCATGCTCTGCTTTCCTGGGTGCCAGCTGCCACCTTCTGTTTACTTTTCAGTTGCTTCTCTCCCTCTGTGTTGCAATTTCCTTGGCAGATGACCTGGCCATGGCTGATGTGCCAGGCTCCAGCCTTTGTCCCTCTGTGCCACCCTGGCACCTTCCTCTCATGTTCATTTGTGGTGCAGTGTAGCATCCTGGCACAAGTTTCAGACAGGTTCCCAAGATGAGCTGATGTAAATCCTCGTTGGGCTGTGGCTGTTGGCTGTGGGCAGGCGCAGGCTCACCCCAGCCTCGTGGCTGTTCCCTGCCCATCACCTCCAAAGCTTCACAAACCGCCTGTGGTGGCACAGGGTGTCAGGGGCAGGGGCACTGTGCCGTGGGTGGCAGCTGAGAGCTGAAGCTGTGACCGGTCACAAGCAGCAGTGACATTCCTGTTTTTTTTTTTTTTTTTTTTTTTTTCCTGCCTAAAAATGGCCAGGTTTCTCATTCCTGGGAGCTGCTGCTGGGAAGGGGGAGCACCCTTCTGCTTGGTATTTCATCCTGGGGGGATTTGTCATAACTTGCCACAGTCTTGCTGTCACCGCTCACCCTGATTTCGGTGTTGTGCCTGAGCCTGGGGGCTGCAGGCAGCTGGGCTGTTCTCGGTGTGCCCTGGCCACTGGGGCTCTGCTGGTGGCCCTGGACAGGAGCGGGGGCTGCAGGACACGTTCCTGAGCGGGGCACAGCGCTGCGGGGGCGGCCAGGCACGCAGCCGGCGGCTCCTGCCGGGGTCACGGGCAGAGCAGCTGCCGGCGGGGCTGCGGCGGTGGCTCAGAGCCCAGCACCACTGACACGGCTGAGGCTTCAGTCCCTCCATGGGCCATTCACTTAGGAGTTAGACTCCAGGATCTTTGTGGTCCCTTCCAGCTCAGGAAGTGAGTGTGGTGTCACCCTAGCTGTCCCGAGACTCCCAGACAGCATCACTGGGGCTCTGCCTCTGTTGCTTTGTTCCTCACTGCCATGGAGTGTTTTCTGCTCCTGCCTGTCACCGGGGTCTCAGGCCGGTGGTGTGGTGGTCACCAGCAAGTGGCACTGTTACCCCACTGCCTGCTGCCCCCACCCAGGCCCCTGGGCTGAGCCCACAGAATTCTCCTTTATCTGACCACAGTACCTTCCAGGAAGGCAGACCTCCCCCCCAGCCCAGGTAATAACAGCTGCTGGTGTTTCCTTTCCCTGTTTAAAGATGTTGGGGCTTGAGCACGCCCAGGGTGTGCTCAGATAAGTGAAGTCATGGGCAGTTTGAGCTGGACCTGGCACCTCCCCTCACTGCTTGTTTCTTCCACATTCAAGGTCATTTTGCTGCTCTTTGCTCCCCAAGACCCACAGCGTTGAACCTTGTTCCATGTGGGGCCAGGATTAGTCAGACTCTTGCTGCACAATCGCTGTTAGGGAGCAGCCAGGAGTGTTGCTATAGCACACACAGCCTGGGGCCAGGGATTTCCTGTTTGAGGCTTTTCTGTGGCAGGGAGAGTGCTGGGTTTAATCACCTCACAAAATCCAATAAATATTTAATCCCTCTGTGGACATAGTCACTTCCAGTGGGAGGAAAATAACTTCACCCACTCCATCTGACTAAGAGCCTCCCTGCAGCTCAGCTTGCTGGCCCTGGCTTTGAAGCTGGAACTGGGCTGGGTGGGTTGTCCTGTGTGTTCCCGTGTCACCAGTGCCACCAGCATGTGGTCACTTGGGACAGCCGGGCAGGATGGCAGAGCCAGCCTGCTCCTGTCACATGGCAGTGTCAGGAACAAGAGGTGAGCAGGAAGAGTTGTTAAATTAGAGCTGTGGATAGCAGGGACGTGTCACAGGTGTGTGCTGCAAATCTCTTCACATGCTGGGCAGCTCCATCGTTGTGCCATGGTGGGACTCTGGGCCAAGCAAATGGAGTGAGGCTTTAGTTCATTTGTTTGGAGATTTTCCTCACTTTTATAAAGAAATCAGCCCCTTTTCCTTCATAGCCTTTAAGGTAAACTTATATTTCAATTGTTTGATATCTGAGCAATATTGCAATCAAAACTCAACCCCTGCCTTGAGGGTGCAGCGCTGTGCTGTGTGTGGGTCTGAGCCACGCCATACAGGGTGTGTAGGGTGCTGTGTGCCATGCCACAGCTCCTGCCCCTCAGGAGGCTGTGCCACAGGGTGTGCTGCCTCAGCACTGCTTGCCAGGGACTGGTTTTATGTGTTTGAGCTGTTGTGGTTCCCCCGCAGAGCCTCACGTCGGTGCAGGTCGCACTGGTGGTGCTCCAGCAGGGCTGGGCACTGCACAAGGGCATTGCAGGACGTGGCTGTGAGGCTCCCCCGGCTCCCAGCCAAGGGCTGCTCCCCACTCTCACTGTGCTCATGGCAGACACCTTCCTTCAGCTGTGGTGACAAAGCCAGCTGTGTTTACAAGGGCCAAAAGTTCAACAGGTAGCCTTTAGCCCACCCTAAGACCCTTTGGCCAGGCTGCCTCCAGCCCAGCCAGAGCCCTCAGGGAACCACGAGAGCCTTGAAAACCGGGATAACGCCATGACTGGGGCATCGGAGCCACGGTGATCCCTGAGCAGGGAACTGCTTCAGCGGGGAACCAATGGACTTGATACTTGACTTTGTAATAGTATTTTCAACATTACACATGAAATGTAAGGGAGGGAAATTCCTGTAGTGCTGGATCTCATGCCACAGCCTCAGGAAGCCATTTGTGCCAAGCTGGCATGGCTCACAGAGAGGTGAAAGAAATCAAATAACTCTGCATCTGTGCAAACTTGAGCTAGGACTGAACAGTGGAAACACTCCAGTGCAATGGGGTTATTTTTTTACAAGTGATTGGTTTCCACACCACTCTTGCCTGGAAGTCTGATTTGCAGAGGAATTTGTATGATAAGTTTAAATCCAGCCCTGTTCTGGGAAGCTCTTAAGCATAGACTTAAAATAGGCACATACTTCACTGTTGTTAAAGTGTTTATTCTGGTAAACAATTGGTGAACATCCCTCGGGTACTGTGGTACTGTTCCTGAACAGGGGGCTCATGAGAGCTGTCCCTCCAATGTGCTTTTAACAGAAATGGGCAATACTGAAGAAACCTTGGTGTTACTGATCTGGGCACACTTCTTGGGAGAGTCTGCAAGTGCTGGGGGGAGATTCCCATCTCTGTGCTGGATTATTTAATACTTCAGACTCTGGTGCTTTTCAGAAAAAATAATCACTACATTTCTGTAGCCACGGTCTACCCAAGGGAATACATGTTGTTTTTTATGGTAGATGTTATTTTTCTTTAAGGTTATGAATAGGTTATTTATATTTTTGTAAATTCTGTGCTGTTACCATTGGAATTCTGTAGCATTGTTACTGTTGGGTTTGGGGTGTTGTTTGTGTTCAAATCAAGCAGAAGTTGAAGCTCCTACCCCCTTTTAATGGAAGGGGGTTGGTCCCTCACATTCCTCCAGACCTGGTGCTCTTGAGTGATGTGTGTTTGTAGTTCAATAAATTTGGAGCCAGACATGGTGACGCTTGGTGAGTTTTGCTTCCTCTCCCCATTGCTGTGGGCCCCCTGCCCGCCTGCTGGGCCCTGGCTGGCAGGGCAGGCAGCGCTTCCCAGAGAGATGCTGCAGCAGCCGAGGTCAGCAGCCTCATCCCTGGTGTGGGGACGGGCAGGAGGGGCTGCAGTGGGTGGTGCTGGATGGGGGGGCCATGGCCCTGTCCCCTCAGGGCCCCCCCAGAGCGCCTGCCCCCCACCACAGGCATCAGCTTTGGTTTTTACGTGGGTTTAACGTTCCCCATAGTGGCCAAGTCTCAGGTGTGGTTCCCTGCATGGCCTGGGGCCAGGGGGAGGCAGAGACCCCTGAAAGATGCCCAAGGAACTCCCATTCCTGAAGCTTCACTGAGGAACAGTTACTGTTTAAGCTCGGTAATTACAGGGCTCATTAAGCCTATTCATGCCCTTATGCTGGTATGTTTAAAATAATTATTAGCATGAAGGATGTTTTCTATTCTAATTAAAGCTATGATACTTGTCCAGACTCTGGCAGGCTCTAGGAGTGCTTGCAGTGCTGCAGCTCATCCTGTGTGTGAGGATGCGGTGCCGTGGCTGCAGGCCTGGCTGTCTCTGTCATTCCACAGGACAACAGCTATGGACAGCACAGCCAGGGCCCAGAAGAACCACTCATCCACCACCAAACACAAAGCCATGGAGTGGTGGGGGAACTCAGCATCCACAGCTTCCAGAGAAGCCTTTTCTGTGGAGCATGGTGTCTGGAGCCTGCTGTCATAGATGCTGTATGTGCTGCAGCCCGGGTGTTCTGAGAGTGCCCAATATCCCCACAGTCTGCACAGGTTCAGTCTCAGTGTCCCTGCCTGCACCAGCCTGAGGCTGAAGGTGTGGGCAGGATGCTGTGGCCCTCCCATGGGTGACCTGAGCCCAAAGCCCTGCCTGTGCCTGTCACCTGGCTGAGGTCACTGTCGCTGCAGGAGGAGAGGGCCAGAAGTGTCCATTGGGAGAGCAGCTTCCTCCATGCTTTTGGGATGGGATTCAACCTATGTCATGCCTTACTTTCAAGTGATTCCTGGCTCTGGGGTTGTAATCATCTGGGCTCTGCATTCTCAGGTGGCTGGACACACTGCAGTAGGCAAAAGGGAGGTGGGTTTGGCTACACCTCAAGTCTGTTCTTCTGGAAGAACAGGGCTGCCCCTCCCAGGCAGAGCAGATGCTCCCACCCAAGGCAGGAACTCCCAGTGATCAAGAGGTTTACACCCCCTCTGCTCCTCACCTCAGACCACTTGTGCTGTCTGGTCTTGCCTTGTTTTTGGCTGAAGCCCAAGGAGCGATGCTAAATCAATCGTGTTCTCTTCAAAGTGCTTGGGATTCTTGTACTCCAAGCTGGGATAAGAGTCAGCTCCTGTGAAGCAGAGCTGGCAGAGAAACACACGTGCTCCATGTGAGCAGACAAATGTGTGGCTGAGGGCCTTGGTGGTCAGAGCAAGGCTGGAGCCACCTCAGCCACTCTTCCCAGAGAGGCTGGCAGCAGGTCAGGGTGCTGAGGTACCCGTTCCTTCCCTCAGCTGCCTCCAGCAGGAACATCTCCAGCTGGGATGCAGAGCCGTGCAAAGGCACTCACAGCTTGGCAAGCCTCCGGCTGCAGGGGGAATGCCAGGGAATGCTGTTTGGCCCACGAGACACACGCACTGGGCCCTCTCCTGAGCTGTCTTTGGAGCAGGAAGGCAGATGAGTGACCTGCTGCCCCCAGCAGCCACAGATCACAGCCAGCAGCCCTTGCTGAGACACATGCTCCTGACAGATGGGGTTTTGCTTTAAAGAGCCCAAGTGAAATGTGTGTGGTGTGGATACCTCCCTTGCACACCCTGAAATGAACCTGCAGAGGTGGGGACCAGTCCTTGTGCAGACAGGGACCCCTGAG